ACCGGCGAGCGGCCCTACCAGTGCAGCCAGTGCGAGAAGACCTTCAGCGAGAAGTCCAAGCTCACCAACCATTACCGCATCCACACGCGGGAGCGCCCGCACGCCTGCGCCGTCTGCGGGAAGGGTTTCATCCGCAAGCACCACCTCCTGGAGCACCAGCGCATCCACACGGGCGAGCGGCCCTACCACTGCACCGAGTGCGGCAAGAACTTCACGCAGAAGCATCACCTCCTGGAGCACCAGCGGGCGCACACCGGCGAGCGGCCCTACCCCTGCACCGAGTGCACCAAGTGCTTCCGCTACAAGCAGTCGCTCAAGTACCACCTGAGGACGCACATGGGAGAGTGAGGGGCTGCCGAGGCTTCCTCTCCCTCCCTCCATCCCTCCCTTCCTACTCGTCCTCCTTCTCCTCCACTGATCTCTCCCACCCTCCCTCCATCCATCTCCCCCCACCCCGGCTCAGGGCATGGACATCAAAGGAAGCTTTGTGTGGTAGCGCCGCTGGTCTGGTGGAGACTCGGCTGATTGGAAATAAATTAATGAATTAAAGCAAGCAACGCGCGGCAAAATTAAAAGATTATATATATATAAAATTAACAGAAGCAGCTGATTTAGGGGGAATCCTCACCAACAAGCAAACCACCGAAAAAAGAAACCTGTACACAGGGTGTTTTGCCAGAGTAGGACTTGTAACTGCTTTTTAAATCTACTGTTTGGTTTTTTTTAATAAATGTGGAGGAACTTTTATTTGATAAGCAACCTTAGGATGGGCAAGATTTTATTTTTCGTTTTGGTTTTTTTTTGTTTGTTTGTTTCTTTTTGGTTTGTTTTTTTTTTTTTGTTAACTGCTCTGTAGGCTGATTCTGGCACAGTCACTTTTTGTCCAGGAGCTCTGTGGAGGCGCTGCCCATCCGGGCTGGATGCGACAGGAGGAGCTCCAGCCGGGGGGAGGTGAGTAATTAACAGATGCAGCTGATGAGGAAGTTCTCCGTGTGTCTAGATTGGAAACGCTGATAGGTGCCTGCCCGGCTCGCGGGGCTGTGATGCACTCCTGAATTATACAATAGAATAAAATTCTAGTTGCAGTAAAAGATCCTTTCTCTGGTAGGACCCCTCCGCAAGGCTCCTCCAAACACTCGTTCCTAGCTCAGTCCTGCCACCGGGGGCATTGGGGTGCTGTGGGTGTGCCCATGGGGTGCTGTGGGGTCTCCAGGAACAGAGCAAAGCCTTGCTGTGTTTACCTGCTCTGCTGTCCTTGAGCTGCTGCTGGTGGCATTGCTCACGTGCTCCTCAGTGGCAGGAGAGGCAGAATTGCTGCCCAGGGGAGGAGCAGCTCCAGGATGGCTCCAAGGAAAGACCTCCCTGTCCCTGGGCACCTCCTGCCAGGGTGGGTGGGACATGATCCATCTCCCTGCTGTTGGTCTGAGCCCCTGTTTGTACCAGCTTGGTTCCTGGTGATCCCAGCTGTCACCTGGCTGGGTGAGATCCATCCAAAGGGCTGGGCTGGGGCTGGGGTGGTGACACCAGCTGAGGCTCCAGTGGTGGCACCAGCTGAGGCTCCAGTGGTGACACCAGCTGGGTTGGGGTGGTGGCACCAGCTCCTCAGAGCACACCAGGCTCCATCCCGGTGCTGTCAGATCTCGTGTTGGACAGTGGCATCAATAAAGAGCGATGATGGGAGAAGTTGTTGGGACCTGTTAATGGCTTTGCAGAACCAGTCCTCATCCAGGACTTTCCTGGTGTGTGAACCCCTCCTAAGTTGGGATTTACGGCCTCTTCTGTGCTAGGAAGTGCCAGAGGGCAGTGCAGCCACGTGGAGCTGCTGAGAGCCATCAGCTGGTCACCACTGTGGGTGGGAGCATTTTGGGGCTGCCAGGACAGGCTCCTGCCAAGGTTCCTGCCTTCCCACTGCTGGGGTTGTGCCTGCAACTCCCTGGAAGAAGTTTGGGGTTTCAGGTCAGGGTGTGATGTCTGATAGGAGTTGACACTTCCATCTCTGGAAGTTGGCCAGGTTGGACGAGGCTTTGAGCAACCTGAGATAGTGTTCCTGCCCTTCCAGGGAAGTGGAACAAGATGAGCTTTGAGGTCCCTTTCCACCCAAACCATTCTGGGATTCCATGAGAAGTGCTGTGGTGGGGCTGATGTCCTGGCAGGGAGCTGTGGGGGCAGGAGAGGAGGGCCTGGCTGCAGCCCTGTGTCCCTCAGCATCCCTGCATCCCCCTCACCAGCACTAAATACAATTATGGAGAAGAAGGAAATGAAAAGCAGAACTGATTCTGCTACTCAGCGGTTCATGTCCGTCCCACTGGCAGCGACACAGACCTGGCAGAATCCTTTTTTCTTCCTAAAAATGGATTAATTCAGCTTTTTATCGGCAAAAAAGAAGCTGAGGTGCCTGGCTGTCCCTCGCAGTGCCAGGACCTTGGTGCTCTGCTCTGTGTCGCTGGGCCCCACACAGCAACTCCTGCCCCTCGTGCTGCTCCTCACCCACCACACACGGATCTAACAGCCTCGGTCGCTGGACACTGCCAGGATTTAACAACATCCTGGTGACCTTGAGCAGCTCAAATGTCACCGATCCGTCTGCAGAGACAGCTCCCGTGCCAGTGGGACAACACGGCCATCGTAGCCCTGAGTGCAGGTGGCAGTGACTCTGAAAACCACAGTGGTGGCAATTAAGAGCGTTGTCCCATGGTGGGACACTAACTCCTGTCCCACAGCTTGGGCTGGTGACACCCAGCCTTCCCTGGCCTGGAGTGCTGGAAGAACTGGACACAGATGTACCCAGACAGCAGCTCCAGGAACAGGGGATGAGCAGGAGCCACTGCTGTCCCCACCTGGGTATGAATGAGCAGTGTACCCCCGGGCAGCACCCCACAGGCTCCAGATGAGTGGGGACATCAGGCTGTCACCCCGAGGTGCTGCAGGGGCAGGGGGCTGGAAGCACGACCTGGGAGCCACCGGGGCAGGGAAGCTGGCAGTGGGGTGGCAGGGATGCTCAGCAGGGCACGGCCATGGCAGTCACTGCCTGCAGAGGGATTCGTTCGACTGCTTTGTGGTGCCCTGAAAACACTCCTTGGGCCCCGGCTGGCAGCACGTGAGGATGGAGGAGGAGCAGAACAGACGGCTGAATACGGGGACTTGGTTTTGGGCACCCAGCACCCTCCGGCACTGAGCCCACGGCAGCAGCACAGAAGGGACAATCTGGATCCGCAGCAGGCGGAGAAACACGAGGCAGCTCGAGGGGCTCTGCTTCCCTAAGCGCTGCTGCTGCTGCTGCTCTCCGGGTGTTTGGAGCTGGGGTGAGAGGGAAGGAGACGCTGGGAGAGGCAGCCATGCGGTGCGGGGATGGAGGCCGGAGCTTGGGGGGATTTCAGGCGAGCGGGCCGGGGCCGGCAGCACGGGATTACCCTGGGCTCCCGCACGGCGCAGCTGCCGCCCCGACACAATCCCTTAAAACTGCATTAAGCACTGCATTAACCCAGCCCGGGTGGCCGGGGAGCGGCTCCGGCGAGAGCCAGGCCCCGGGAAGGATCCCAGCGCAAGGCCTGGGGAAGGCATTCCCGACCCGCCGCCAGGGCCGAGCCAGGGCGAAGCTCCCGGACGCGTTCCAGGTTATTAATGACTAAATTAATTTAAGGCGAGCATCCGCGGGCGCTGGCAGCGCCGTGCCCCGGGGGAAGGCTGGGATGAAGGCTCGCATTCTCCCCAGCCCTCCCCTGCTGCTGCATCCCCGCTCGCGTGGGCTGCCCACGGGCACACGCAGCGAGCCCCGGGCCCCTGTTCCACCTCGGGGTTTTCCTTCTCCTTCCTCCCCTGCTTGCACACACGGACACGCGGGTGTGTGTTGTGAGATCCAGGAACAGGAATATGCACAGGGAGAGACGGGGACGCTCCCACGCGTACACACACACACCCAGAGGCACACACGTGTGTGATGTGTGACACGGATGTACCCTGGCAGACACACACATGTGTGATGTGTGACACGGGTGTACCCTGACACACACACACACACGTGTGTGATGTGTGACACGGGTGTACCCTGCGCACACACACACGTGTGTGTAATAACACGGATGCGCACACTCACACTCTTACACACCCAGCAGCACCGCCCCATCCCGTCTGTTACCACCCGGCGCTGCCACGGCTCCAGATGTGCTGGCTCCGGGCGAGCAGCCGGCTGTCGACACCACCTGCCCGTCGTGCCCGGGGCCGTGCGGGCACAGCCCGCGGTGGAGCTCCGAGTATGGGGCGGCCGCAGGGCTGGGTGTCTTCGCTGCCCGGGGTGGGGTGGCCGAGGGGCACAGATCGGGCTCGGCCACAGGTTGGGATCGACTCCACGCACGGGCAGGGTCCCCTCTGGGTACAGGTGAGTGTCCTGTCCGGACACACGTCTGGGGTCTGCTGTGGGCATCAGCTGCTCTGGGTATGGGTCTGGGTCCCCTCCATGCATGGCTGGGTCTCCTCTGAGCACGGTCTGGGCTTCTCTCAGGGCACTGCTCTGGTTCCACTCCACACACAGGTTAGGGTGTGTCCCCCAGGATTTGGGCCACGGATTTGGGGCCTCACCCAGCTGCTACCCTGTCTGGGGTTTGGGGTCCCCATCTGTGGGCTGGGGTCCTGTATCCCACCCTGCTGGAGCTGCTGGTTCTCCCATCGCCTGGCCCAGCCCACCCAAGGGCCCAGGTCCCTCTCACTGCTCACCCCTCCGTGTCCCCATATGGTCCCTTGTGCCCCAGATGTCCCCAGCCAGGGTTTCTGCCCTGCAATGTGGGCTCAGCTCACTGCAACACAAGAGATAACTCAGAGCATGAGGAGTTTTTTAATACTCCAGCAAATTTATGGAGCATGTCTGAGTAACTGCTACTGTCACTGCAAACCTCTTCCCAGAAATCCCACTTCCAATGTCGAAAGTTGTTTTTTCTTATTAAATAAATATTTTAAAAAAACAAACCCAAACCGCAAACTCCAGGGATTCTACATGAAGTTATTCCAGAAATGTTTCTGGCCATAAGAGCTGTGGATGGGGCTCTCCCCAGCCTGACTAAAGTGAGTTTGGAGAGGTGTGTGCCACTCCCAGGCACTCAGGGGTCACCCCTAGAGACTCCCCACACTGGGATTGTCCCCACAGGAGTTGTTTGGTGACATCATCTCCCTCCTGTGAATGTCACTCCAAAATTACCAGAAATGCTTTTTTTTAATCCCTGCCCTAGGAGATGCTCCAGAGCAACCTGCTTTTTCTACAAAAACAGAAGGAAAAATTGAAGCTCAAAGAAGACCCAAAAAGTGATGACCTGCTGGTGTGTGATCCTCTCCATGCCCCCCACTGCTCACCCACCTGGCTCCCCAGGAATGTCCCATCATTCCCTCTCCCCATATATACTTACCTCCTAATCCATGACAACGTTCTTTTCTCTCTCCCTCTCTATCCATCTCATATGGCCTCCTTGGGCTCATCAACATCCAGACTCTCCCTTCTTTCCACTCGTGCTGTACAAAACCTCTGCTCCCCTTGTGTGTGATCCTTGTCCCCTCTCTGCAGCAGCTGTGTCCCTGTGGAGGCAGCTGGAGGCTGGGCGGGCTCAGGGCCTCCGTGCGGTGCCTTGCAGGTGACGGTGATGTTGGAGTTGCAGCGGGTGCCCGACACCTTTGAGGAGCTGCAGCAGTTCCTGAAGGAGCAGGAGGAGATCCTGCTGGCCCAGCTCAAGCAGGTGTCCCAGGAGCTTGTGGTACAAACACAACTCCAAGGTTTGGGAGAGGGACACGGTGATTGTGTGGATTGAGTGGATTGAGGAGAAGCAGGACCAGCCGGTGGTTGAGTTCCTCATGGTGGGGCTGCATCCCCCACTGGGTGCTGTGACCCCTGGGGGGCTGGGATACCCACCTGGCACCCTCTCCAGCCCGAGGGCCACGCTGTGACACCGTGCTGTGCCCGCTGTGGGTCAGGGCCCTGAGGGAAGGGAGGGTTGGGGTGAGGTGTGGGGTGACCCCCAGCCCCCTTAACCTCCACTGTAGCTCCCTGCCCCTCAAAAGTGCCAGATCTCACCTGTGTTTTCTCCCTTGCAGGATGTTGGCAAAATCCTGAGC